GGGCCGAAAATATTTGTGATCGAAGTACTACGGCCTGCGATGTAGTTGGTAACCGGGCCCGGCAGATCGCCATTAAACTGGAAACGCCAGGATGCGGACGTGCCGCTCAATGTATAATTACCGGAGTAGATATAGCGCTTGACACCCTGTATCGTGCTCCCCGGGACACTGCAGCTTGTCAAAGCCTGTTGGGCAGGACATACGGGAGATACTTCCACGCCCGTACCTTGCTGAACAAGGCTAAGCGAATCCACTATCGAGAACCCATTGTAAATGTACACCCGCGGCGACGCACCCTGCAGGCCACTAAATGAGCTGTTGGGATTAAAGGCACCTGCACAATCACCGTATATTGTTAATGTAATCCTGTAGGTATTTCCGGTAACCCATGCATAGTTAAAGTCCGCACCAAATAAGTGGTTGGCATAAGCAGTATTACTACTACAAATACTAAAGACAATAAATAAGGTGAGTATAAACTTTTGTAAGCGTTTATTCATATAACCAGGTTAGGCGATTTTATAATTGGAACTATATAACTGATGGGAGAGATTAAATATTTTATGTGTGCTAAATATTTTGACGGCTGATTGAAAGCCGGGCTAGTACAAATTTAATGGTATAAACCGCCAGTGCATGTTATGATATTCCGTCATTTTTTAATGAAAGTTGGTCAATCCCGGTAATAGACACTTATTGTAAATGAACATACTATAAGCGCCTGTATTTAAATTTTATTAAGGTATTGGTGTAATCTTAAGTCTGTTAAAATTATAATGCGAACTTACGCCCTTTCCCAATCAATTAATATAATTTACTGGACATAATTATGTAGTCTGTTCGTTAAGCTGATCTGTAAAAGACAAATTTTCCTTTGTATGCCGATGGGGTAGTGGATCAAAATCGCTAACAGTAAACTGGTGAATGTGAAATGATATTTATATGATTCATGGACTAATTTTGATTTTTAATCAAATGGTGGTGTCATATAGACGAATAATAATGACTAAGTCTTTGCAGGCAATGGTCAGATAATGGCGGCTGTGGATATTTTTTGCCATCGTCTG